ATTCAGTACAATGAATAGACAGCTTGCAGAACAGTTGGTGAAAGCCAGAAAATCTGTTAAACAAAAATATCAGAGCCTCAAAACTGATATTGCGAAATCGAAGAGTTCGTTGGAGAAAAGTTATGAACCAATAACCAACCCTCTGAAAGAATTGATTGCATCGATTCATCAGACAGCCGTTCCTAAAGTGGAAAAGGCAGAACCTGATTCATTTTCAACTCCACAACACGATAAGTATTATAGATTGCTAACTAAAGATCCATCAATACTACAAGATGAAGAAACATTCGTACACGATCCTGAAATGAGCTATTTTGATCAGAGTTTGGGTCAATTACAAAGTCAAGTTGAGAATCTACAAGCTCTACAGAAAGCCAGAGAACTTGAATTAGAAAAATATTTGGAAAAATATGAAAAACCTCTTCCTAGAGCTTATATCGAAGACATACTCAAGGGTGATCCAGAGGATTTCGATCACAAATTTGGTATCAGATTCGAAGTATCAACAGATAACTGGATGATAGGAGATAGTGTTGTGGAATTTCTTGGTCCGCATTTCTCAATAAATGAAATAACTTATAGTGGTACACCGGGGCTGTATGAACTGATGTTCAAAAAACATCCAATAGGTTACAAAGTCAATGATATTGACAACTATATTGATATTGTTACCGCAACAAATGCCATTTATACTGATTATAATCGTAAAAATGGATTATCCACGTCTAATGCTGAGAAATTTGTGAAAATTATAAAACCAAGGGTAACATCATTACATTCTATGGCTAAGGCAGTAGGAAAGAGATTACTCAAACAAAAAGTTTCCTCATCCATCCCAACCTCCAAAGGACGAGGGTTTTCACTAGGTCACAATCGACATCCTCTGCTAAATTAGGACAAGGAATCGGTCCGATGATGCTTTACAACAATAAGAAGATAGAATACAAATATTTTGATAACTATAATGAAATCATAGACAGACTGAAGTTACTGATTGCAGAACAACAAGCTGGTCATACCGGACATAATAATGAGATAATTTCCGTGTTAGAGGAACTCAGGGAAGCTAAAATAATTGAATAAAATAACATGTATCACAGCTTTGGTGTTATTCATTCCTGATCATTGGAATAGGCATCATGCCAGTTGATAAATTCGGTGGACATTACAACATCAAAGACAAGATCAATATCAAACTACTCAACAACAACCAGTGAATATATATCAGTTATACAGTGAAAGTATATTAACAATTACCGGCAGTATAACCAAAGTAATAAAGAGGCTTCCACTGCCCTGGTTATACAAGCTACAAAATAATTCAGATGAATACACATTTCCATTGAGGGAAGGTTTCATAGTTGGAATTGACTGTTATCCTAAAGACGTTTCAGTAACGGTCAGTAATAATACGATTGAAATTAGCGAACTGATTGGACAGAAATTAAGTTCAAGATTTCAAGATTTATTCAAAGATTTGATGATACAGTATAACAATTTTTTTTTTTCGTAGATTTTTTTTTCTCCTGTGAACATGAGCGAAAAACGCCTAGGCAACAGGCTGCCTGTTTTGCATTTCTCCCTCATGAAGCATGGGAGGGTTATCATGTTGAAATACATAACAAATGTTTTATTCTATGAACAAGAACAGTGCTTTTCTATACTTATGATTATTGGAAAGGGAAAGAGAAGAAGATGAGTGAAAGATTGAGATGGCATTCTTTTTTTAGAAAATTTTGAATACAGATGCATTGTGAAGCATAAATTGTTTGAGAGCAGTTTTGAAATGTTTTATTTCATTCGTGTTTTTTAAACATTCAGGCAGAAGGTTATACAGTTTTGGTCCAAAGTAGAAAACAAAACGTTGTGTATGGCTCTTTTTATATAGAGGAATTTGAATAATTTCATTCTCACTGGATCGGGTTATCCTCGAACTTTGCAATCTGAAATTATGAATATTTATGTACATCCAGATTAGGGACCGATAAGTGTATGAGAACCTTATGTCAAACACATTTGTTTCCTTATACAGTATCTCTGTTGAAAATAGTTTACGTTCTCTCGTTATTATTTTAAGTATCATGTTTTGTGCTGATTGTAGGCTCTTTATCGTATTATTGAAAGTACCGCCCCATGCTGTTATGCAATAATTTATAATTGACTCTACTAATGAATTGTATAAAATCATTAGATTTTTTCGAGAAAGAATATCTCTGAGAACATAGAACTTATGCATGAGTAGCATGTAGCATTTGTAATATATAAAATATGTTCATTCCACCTCATATACTGATCCAGAATGAGTCCTAGATATTTGATAGATTCAGTTTTCTCGATTTTAGAGCAGTTACAGTTTTCTCCATTTTTACAGCTAGGTTTGTGGATACTTATCTTTGATGTATCAGGTTGGTCAGTAGAAGTTGAAGAGAAAGTCATAAATTCAGTTTTTTTCACATTGAGACTTAACAAATTGTTATTGAGCCACATATATATGTATTTCATGTTAGTTTCTGCTGTCTTATAAACATCTTTCCAGTTATCACCTTTGAATAATATTGCTGTGTCATCAGCATAACATATTGAATGCCCTTCAAAGCCATTTATTCGAGATATACTGTTGATGTACACAAGAAACAGTATCGGACCCAATACTGTACCCTGCGGCACACCAACAGTAATATACTGACCAGAACTAAGTTTTTCTCCAATTTTCACCTTTTGTAGTCTGAGTGATAGGTAGTTTTTTATTAAATTCAATGCTATTCCTCGTATGCCATATTTATATAATTTGTTCAACAAGGCGTCATGTGATACGGTGTCGAATGCTTTTGCTAAATCCAAGAAGACGCCAAGGCATTTAGAAGATTTATCCATAGATTCTATAGTGATTTTGGTAAAATCTAATATTGCATTTTCAGTAGTAGATTTCTGTAGGAATCCATATTGACTGTCCGTTATCACATGATGCCTGTTGAAAAATCTAATGAGTCTTTTTTTTATCGCCTGTTCAAAAATCTTCGCAAAATTGTTGATATCAGATATAGGTCGATAATTATTCATTTGCGTTGAGTCTCCTGTTTTGAAAATGGGTGTTACTGTAGATAGTTTCCACTGATGAGGTATGGTTCCAGTTTTGAAACATTTATTGAGGATATGTACTAAAGGTTTGGTGATATATGAGTGGATATGTTTTATTAATTTTGTATTTAGTCCATCCGGGCCAGGGGCACATCAATTCTATTTCATTTGTGGGTTCAAAAAATATGGAAGATTTTACGGAAGGGTCGTTCAAAAAGTTGTTTGGTAAATTACAGTGCTCAATATTTTCAGCCATTTTATTTCCAATATTTATGAAAAAATTATTGAATGAATTCGCCTTTTTTCCATTTTCTTTCATTGTTTCTCCATTTTCATCTGAGATTGTAGTATTTTCTAATTTATTTTTCTTCTGTTTATTTGTAATGATGTCATTTATAATTCCCCAAGTTTTTTTGCAATTTCCTTTAACTTCATTCAGTTTTTTTTTATAATACTCATTTTTTGTCTGTTTAATCAAGCTATTAGTTTTATTTCGATATTGTTTGTAACGTTTTTCTAAATCATCCGAGTGTTTTGATAACAATTTTTTTTTTAGGTTGTCTCTTGTTTTGATTGAGTTGATTAGCCCTACGGTTATCCATGGTTTCAATTTACGACAACTCTTATTTCTACATGGCATTTTTTCTGTGCATGCAGAAATGTATCTTTGTAATTTTTCAATGAATTGATCATAGCATATTTGCGGTTGATTCAATTGAAATATCTCTTGCCAGCCCTCATTTTCTAATAAAGAGATCAGTTTTATTTCATTGATTTTTAAAAAATTACTGGGCTGTTTTTTTTTTTGGACAGATTTTCATTAAATGGGATAGTTACGTATGCTAGTATAGAAAAATGATCTGTTATGTCTGTTTGAATTATCATCGGGTCTATTAAAATTTTATCATTCATACGATTTTCTCTGCTAACAAAAATATGATCGATAGCTGTTTCTGATTCCCGTGTTACTCTTGTCGGTCTATTTATGTATGATATGAAGCCACTACCGTTCAATATGTTGAGGTATTGGTTAACATCGTGTGGAGTGTTGTCCAATAAATTAATGTTTATATCACCTATGAATAATTCCAAATTTTTTTTGTTGAGATTTGAAAAATATGATTCCAGGTCATTTGCGTATGTCTGAAAGTTTATAGAAGGGAGTCTATAGGAAGCTGTAACGCCAATCATATAATCTTCGGCATTTCCTGTTTCAAAAGTAATTCTTAGTAGGTTCGTTTCAGTCAATGGGAAGATCTGAACATTTGAAGTTATATTGTCTTTTATAAATATAATAATGCCATCACACTGGTTTTGTTTTGATTCACTGTAATGAATTGTATATCCAGGAATATTGAAATTACTCACTGACTCAACATTCCATGTTTCTGATAGAATGACAATATCTAGTCTTTCCAACTCACTCTTTATATATACAAGCAATTCGTCAAAATTTTTCTTCAAAATACGAATATTGAAATGAATTATGCCAATGTCATTTTCTCCTCTTACCCTCTTTCCTTCGAAACATTCCTTGAGATTACTGTAAATGTTTGTTTTTATTTCTTCCTGATCATCTAGTATATTAAAGAAATCTAACATATTTGGTGATTAGTGCAAAAATCTAAAAGAAAAGAAGAGTATGAGTTTATGATCTCTCCTGCGACACACCTCAAGTATAATTTGAATATTCATATATACAGTAAGTTTGTGATATATAGTACCTATAGCTATGATAACAAAAGCAAATATAACAAAAGCAAATATTTTTTTGATTTTTATTTAATATTGATTCATCACAATTCGAACGAGATAAATTATTATTTATCATTTCCTTCTCCAAATATTGATGGAAAGAAATATTATAGGAAACTTTATTTGAAAAAAAAAAGAAAGAAAAGATTGCTAGTTATGCGAATATGCTATTCTGCAAATACTTTTTCAAAGTCCTCTTCAGATTTGAGAATATGTATTTTATTATTCACATTAACATGAATTTTTCCGGATTCAGTCCAAACATTTTTGAAACCAACTTTTTCGGCGCATTTAGAAAGTAGCGCTACTCTCTGACTTGTGAGGTCCTCCCTGATTACTATTCCAGTTCCTTTCAGCATCTTCTTCTTGCTGTATATTGCATGTTTGGTTTCATAACTATTCAGTTTCATGAAAATGCATCTTGGCTTACTTTCGTTTTTTTGTCCAACACGGTAACATATTTCGATATCTTTGGTGGAGACGTTTGTGGCCATTTTTGCGTTGAAAATTTGGATGAGCTCTTCCCTAACGTGTTCATTTGCTTTTTCCTTATAGTTAAAGATTCTCAAATTCATTCTCCTAGTTGCTTGATCCATTTGTTCAAATTTTTTTTCCAAAACACATTTTTCATTATTTGTCTTCTGAACAATGTGTTGGATTTTATTTATTTTCGAATCAAACTCCTTTCTCATTTTCGAGAGATCACCCTGTAGAATTTCCACATCTGCTTCTAATTGCGACAACTTTTTGATGACCGTTTTTATCACGGCGGCCGATATATCGTTTGCGATTGTGTTCACAAATGAATCCGATTTTAGCGATTTATTCACCGCTATGTTTACCGCACTTTCAATCTTTTCGATGATTTCTCTTGTAAGAACCATTTTTTTTATATATTTCGTTCCTCTCACTGCACTATTGGTACAACTTAACTTCGATAATTACGGTTAATTTTTTTCACTTGCCTGTATTTATTAGTTATTTTGAGTTTTTTGAGGAGCGCGAGATAAAACACGTCTACTCACTGCTCGCCATAGACATCAAAGGTAAAGGTTCAACATTGAAATTCCAATCAAAATATAGAGTATCAGATGAAAATCTTCATATCCAGTTGGTGATTCAGACCCCTATCATCAAGTATGTCTAACACCAAGAAAGAAGTAGTTGAGGAGCTACATAAACCAGCAAGGAGGCGATTCCGGAGGAGGAGAGTAGTTATCAAAGGATTGAATGATTTGTGGGAAGCTGATCTTGTCGAAATGCAACCATATGCTAAATTCAACAAAGGATACAAGTACATTTTGGTTGTAATAAATGCTTTTTCGAAATTTGTGTGGTGTGAACCTGTGAAAAGCAAATAGGCTGACAATGTCACAGTTGCGATGAGAAAAATTCTATCCTCAGTGAAATCTCCACCAAAAAATCTTCATACTGATAGAGGCCGCGAGTTCTATAATAAATTGTTCTCTGAACTGATGATAAAATACAAAATTAACCATTATAGAAATTTTTCAAGTATGAAGGCTAGCATTGTAGAACGTGTGAACAGAACTTTGAAAACCATAATGTGGAAAGAATTCAGTCTACAGGGTAATTACAAATGGATTGACATACTAAAAGATGTAGTTTCTACATATAATAATACCAAACATTCTACGACGGGATTGAAACCAATAGAAGTGAGAAAGAAAAATGAAAAATTGCTCCTTGATACTGTTTATAGTCACTTGAAAATAACGAATCCCAATCCTAAGTTTGGAGTGAATGATCACGTACGAATAAGTAAATTTCGAGAAGCTTTTTCCAAAGGCTATACACCGAATTGGTCGAATGAGATTTTTAAAATCAGAAAAATTCGTACAACTGATCCAACAACATACCTGTTGGAAGATGCCATGGGGAATCCGATTCAAGGTGTTTTTTATGAACAAGAATTACAAAAAGTCAAGTATCCTGATGTATATTTGGTAGAGAAAGTTCTGAGAACGAAAGGGAATAAAATTTACGTAAAATGGCTTGGGCTCGATAAATCCCACAACTCTTGGATCGCAAAAAATAGTCTTGTTTAGAGAACCACTTCCCCCTCTCTGAAAAAACCCCTCCACTTCGGTCTTGGATATGTATTCGCTTGCAGGTGTGAGTCTCCAGTCAGTTGAGAAAATGAATCCGATGTCAGATGAGTCGAGTGGTTATGGTAGTGATTGTTGGAGTGATATGGACGAGCTATACCGCAAGAACATCGAGAACGAGGGACCCTACATTGCTGAATCTACCTTCAACATCCAGGACAGCCCATTTTCAGTCTGTTGCGGCCTGAGCGTTGCGAGATGCTTCGAACCTGCAGTTAAGTTGAAGAACAATACCAGTAAATCGGAAATCTCCTTCAACGTGATAGAATGGGCAAATTTGACTCACATTTTACGAAATTTGCTGACTGAATATTTCGAAAAGAGTGATGAAAATGTTGTTGTTCCACAAATGTGTAGTGATGAGGAAGTGAAAATAAGCACCGCACAATTTATGGGCATCAAAATATCGAAACTTGAAACTACAAACTCTGCCATATATCTGAAAGAAGATGTTATTCGGAAAGTTCTTGAACTTGACTCTATCATCATCGATCACAAAATCAACATGCTCACGAATTTGTCATTTTCGAATTTTTATTACAATGTTATTGAAATTACCAGAAAATTTATATTGCAAGTAAACTCTGAAATGCAGAATGAATTGATAATAATTGCATTTTGTGATATTCTGAACAATAGTTTCGAGAGTTATTGTATGCGAGAGTGCTTATTGTATTATAGAGATATAATCATGGAGGATATAAATAAAAAATAATTGAATATAAGTGGTTTTTATTTAATCTTCATCTACACTGTATGTTTAACAATATCAAGTGAATATAATACTATAGTTTCCCCAAGGTGAAGTATCAGTATTTGATAAATTTTCATCTACACTGTGAGTTTGACAATATCAATCTATAATAATACTATAGTGTCCCCAAGGTAAAGTATCATGGGAATTCCTATGTAAATATCTTTTGTCATCATGTGGACTCAGGGCAATTTTGTTTTGTTCTATTGAAAAAACTTGATGGGCACGTGATTGTATACACCTCTGAGTCTCGTATTTCTCTATATTTTGTATTCAACATTCCAAATAATCTTCAAATTCAATTTTATGCTTGACTACGTAATATTTAATACCTTTGGATTTCTTAACACATTTTTTACCTTTTTCAGTATTATTAAGGGTGGGTTTTTTATTGTCAACCAAATAGGTGTATTGTTTTGATCGAAGGCCTACAAAATCTGTCATTATGGATCCTTTATTCTCATCTTTTAACAAACCAATTACTTTTTTATTAACTAATGGGATGTTGTACTGATTATCTGGAGGATAATCACTAGTATCGAATTTGTCAATATCCGCTCTTTTGATCTCTTCGTAAACATCGTCACAATACAGTTCATAAATGAGAGAATCTGTATCGGTATAGAGTAATTTACATTTCGATGGATCAAACTTTTTCAACATGTAATCATAATGGAAATCATAAACACAAGTTTTCGAGATATCTAAAATTGCCATACCAATGTATAATGGTTTATTGAATACCAGTTTGGTTTTCTTCATTTCAATTGCCATCAAATTTTCATCAAATATAGTTCTATTATGGAAATTTGGACTAGATATTAAATTTTTCGCGCCATGCCTGCCTTCCCAACTCCTAACAAGTTTTACAATCTTGTATTTTCTAATGTTCTCCATTGTTTTACCGAAAACAGCATTGATCATTAATTTGAAGATTTGTATGCCGAACTCGTTCTTGGAATTTGCTCGCAACGTGGTATTCAGATCAATGTATGGCTTCAACCACCTGGACTGTTCGAATTTCAATATTCTATGAATTTTATCGATAATGAGTCCATTAGCCAGATATTGTTTCAGATTTCTATAATGCAATATATACTTTTCCTTGTGATACAATGTTGTCATTAGTTTGGGTAATTTTGATTTTGGGGGTGTTTGATGTTCAGGGGCGAGGGGTAAATCTTTATGAAGGTCATGAAGGGATTCTGGATATTTGAGATCAACCTCCAAAATGTATCCAGAAGAGGATTCATCAGAAATGGAATTAACATCGAAATTCTCAGTATCTTTCAACCATTCAAATCCAGTATAAGAAAGAGGCTGAGACATAGCCCAACCATAGAGATTATTCACGTCGAGATACAAGAGGTACTTAGATGGTTCATCACTCTTGAAATTAGTCATGTATTTATTGTTCGCTGTTGAGTACCTATTCGAACACTGACACTGACTCATTCCACCACGAATTCCCTTTTCTATGAACATTAATATGTCAACATCTTGAACTGTATCTAATCGGCACTTTGTATATTTCAACATACAGTCCCATGTATATCCAGGTAAAGTATAATAATGAGCAGGATCTAATCCGTATGTTGTATGGCATATGTCTCGGAAATTCTCAAAAACATCAACCAATAACATGATATCCGTCTTCAAGTGAAGGTCGGAGTATTCTCCTAATGTTTTCAACTGGAATGTTTCCCATACTTTCTGTGCATGCTCATAATCCGAATCCTTGATATGCTCATCGTTCAATTTACTGCAAAATGATGTCTTCCTCGGTAGTTTAGTGTCTTGGAGTTTTTCCAAATTATCTAAATAATCATAACAAAAAATGCCTTTTCTACAAAGCAAATCAAACTTCTCTTCTTCTAGATCACTGAACTCTTTTCTGAGGTTGATGAATTGTGTTTTTTCCAGAAACGATACCAATTGATCCAATTTGAATGCCATGAAACGATATGAATCGACAAATCTGAATTTTATGTTAGATCTAGAATTATGTTGGGTGAAACTGATATATTTTTCCTTATTTATTGGAAGTAGAGTAACCCGAGAGTGTTTTGCCAAATCTTTTATAATGAAATGGCTATCATATCCCGATAGGTTGTGAAAGAAAATGGGAACGGTATGGGAATTTGTATATTCGAGGTTACATTTCGAATGACTGAATCCGCGAAATGGCCCTGTATAGTGGTCATGGTCGCGAACGATGGTGTCTGATTCGATAAACGTTCTTTCACAAATGTGACATGTAGTTTTATCAAAAATTTTCGCAGCATCTTTGCTCATCGGTAAGTTCATACGCATTTTTGTCTCAATGAAGAGTGCTAAGTCATCTAACTCTTTCACAAACCACTCAATGCATTCGGTACCTCGGTTACTTTTATAGAATGATAAACTGTCATCAAAAGTACACTTTACATAATATCCCACACTAAATGTTTCATGTTTCTGATACCGAGATGTTTTTATAATTTTTTTTTCTACATTGTTCATCTTGTAGTGGAATGAGCAGTGATTCAAAATCACTGTAAAGGACGAAAGGAACTTTTTCTTTGTGACGAAAATTTTTGAACTCCAAAAACTTTTCCTCGGGAAATTCTATTTTTGATTTATTTATTTTTGAACAATATATATCATAAGCATTCAATTTTTCTTGGTTTTTGAAGTAGTTCAAACATGTATCGCAAATGATTTTTTTACCATTTCTCTTCCCAATTTGCTTAGAAACTAATCGTGATAGGTTCTTTATCCAGCAAAAATGATTCTCAACAGAATCCTCATCTTTGTTGATATGATCAAGTAATGACATTTCCATGTCACCTTCTGAATCCTCATCATCGAAATATTCTTTTTGAATCATCAGAAGATTGACATGCCTATTTAGAATCTTATTCTTAGTGATTATCACAGGAACAGTGGAGAAATTTCCGAATCGATCGGTTTCTAGAATGAAAACATAAATTGATAGATTGTTCAGATTTTCGAATTTATTAATCTGATTCAGTCTCA